TGCCCATATCTTTGAAGAATAATTTCCTTTATGTATTCAGTTTGTTTCTTCAGCATGTTTTCTTTTCATTTTAGAATTTTTGGATTTAACCCGGCCGAAGTCGTACCAAGAAAAATTACTAGAGTGGGCGCATGGGGTACTTCAATATTTAAAATAAGATAAAAATAGTTTTATTTAGTTTTAAAGCTGTTTTTCTTGTTCTCGTGTATTATAAATGCGTGAATAATAATTGGGTTTCAAAAATTAATTTCCCAAATAATCTTAGAGTTTAAATTAGATAAATGAAAATAAGAAAAAAAACATCATGCCCTAAGTTTCATGCACTTTAATATGCAATGCTATTTTATCTTTACACTTTAACAAAACATTCATGTGATCTTGCACAGATGTTTTACATTTTAAACATTGATCAAGTTCTTTGTCCTTGGCCGAGGGCATTTATCACATCTTCATACTTAGTTGTTTCGAATTTCATGTATTTGTTTAATTCGTCGTCGAAACTTCTGCTTAGTTTTGCAGCAGTACGTCAGTTCTTGTAAGTATTAATCTGATATTTGTTAATACTTTTTTCATTAATGTAATGCGAGTCTTCAAAAACGACTTCTTTTCTGGTTGGCGGATAGCAGTTGAATGTAATAAATTCAAGCATTCATTACAGCAACTTGAGTGCATAACGAAAATTACCATTGGCACTCCTTGTTATTCTGGCAATTGAACTAACATCTCAATACCACTGTCTTTAGTCATATTATAAAAATAAAGCTGACGTTTCTCCAAATTTTGGTGAGTTATATAATGTTGAAACATAAGCTTTCCTTTTTAGGAACCTGGAATATGTTTATTTTTTCAACCAAACAGTGTAGAAAATTTAGTTTCATCTTCATTCCAAATCCAATCCATCCTTCAAATTTCTTAGCTCACAGGCGTTGCATCTCAATTCTGAAGTCATTCTTTTTACAATGTGGTTAGAAATTTTTAAGATTTAATGTCAAGTACCTTTAAATGACTGCGCTAAAAATATTTACGTTACCTCCGTAATAAATTTCTGAACAAATTCAGAAAAAAAAGGGGGGTGGTCAACCCTTCCAACAAAACAATAATCTTTTTCTGAAACACAAGGCAAAAAAAAGCGGGAAAGTAAACAAGAAAGCTAATGAAAAGAAGGATTTTCAGTTTCACAAGTTAGGAATATTCCACTTTTATGTAGGGGTGGGGTGGGGTATGATACACCCCACAAGCTTTCCCGCAGGTTAATTAAGGATTTGTGTTTTTCTAAAAAACAGTAAATGCATTTAGAATGTATAGAAAAAGTGACTAATTTCTTTAGTACTATGAAATTCAGAAGCAATATGAAACATATATGGTAAAGACCGGTTACAGAGCTGGTGTGGAATAATTTTTAGAATTTAGTGACACACCAAACAAAATCTAGAAATGGCAAAGCTTTTAGAATTTAGAGCAGGCATTGGAAGCAGAATATAGAAAGGCACTATGCAGTTGAATTTAGGATCCACAGAGATTGCAATCAGATGGGAAAATTTCTTAGTGTTAGCTCTGTGTATGATGCACTTAAGACATATTAGATGGAATCCTTTTAAATTGTAAGTTTTTTCAATTTCTTTATTAATTAAAAAATCCCTTTCTATAATCTTTCCTTTCTTTCCAAGTGATAAGATTAGAAGCATTTTTGATATTTTCCATGCTTGTGTCTAGTGAAAAGTAGAGAAAATAAAGGGAAGATGTTAAGAAAAAAGATTCTAGTAGCAGGAGTAAAACATTCAAATATTATGCCTTCATTGTTCTTCCAGACGTTCTCCAAAAAGTAAGAAATTAATCGCAAACTTTCTGTAAAATACATCCATTACGCGTTTATACCATGGAGACATTTTTCACTTTGTCACATATTTCTCGAATCATCTAGAATCGAGGGTCTATAAATCTTGCCTTCAAATCCTTCTAAATTTTCCAAGCTGCAATGTCAAAAATACTAAAGAAAAATTATCCCAACCAATTTTGTAACAGCAAAGAGCCAGAAATATTTTTGGGGAAAAAAAAGGGGGGGATAAAAGTATAAAATTAATTTTATAAAGAAAACTGATGCATATTCTGAGAATTTTGAATATTCTGAGAGAATTACATCGGAAAAACGCTTACTATGAAAAATTAAAAAGGAGACTTTTTAATTAATTACATAGCTAACTTTGCTTTTGCTAAGAGCTGTTTTGTAAAATGTGCTTTATAGCATTATACCTTGTTTATTTTTTTCAGATTTAAAATATTGTATAATAAGTTGCCAAAATGAAACTTTATAATATAACAGCGCGAAAAATAAAAATTGTTTATTTTAATGTTATTTTTTTAAATATAATTTCAATATATTACCATTATTTTAATGAAATTTATGTGTTACATGTTTAAAAAAAAAAAAAAATCGTCGAAAAATTCCCAGATTTCAGAATTAAAAATTTTCTATATAAACTGACGTTAAAATTGCCAAAATGTTGACAAGTCGCCAAATTTAGAACTGCTTAATAAAAGAATTCACATCCCAAAAGCGGAAAATTGTTTAAGAGCTCTTTTATTACACAAAAAGAAATCGAAATGCTGATGTTTCACTTCTTGCTTAGAACTCGATGATTTATATAGAAATAGAAACAAATTATAACCACAACCCATTCAAAAAACCATATTGTAGTGAATCGCCAAAAAATTTCCTCCTAAATGCTAATTCACACTCAAAATGGCAGTCGTAAAAACAAACAGAAATTTCAGATAATTAAAATTAAGGACCTTCTACTGATTTTGGCCAAAATTAAGGACTCTTAAGGACCGTACGAACCCTGCACCTAAGAAGTATACCCTCATTGGTATAGTAGTTAGCGATGCTGATTTTAATATCGTTAGGCTCAGCTTTGAATCTTGTAGAAAGCATAGATGTTCATAGAGCTTAAATCCTCTCGAGTGTTTTAGCTATAAGAGGAAAGCAGCTGGGAGACCTCAGATTTATTCTCTGAGATGTTCTCCATTAAAACAGAGGTGAAGCTGCACAATTAGTATGATAAGACTATACCTGTACAACCAATGGAAAATATCTGATGTTTTACCTACTTCTCCCTGTACCTGGCCTCTGAGAGAAAAGGCTATTCCCAGTCTTTCTTAGACACAGTTTAGCACCCTTTAGATGCTGTGCCCAAGAACAGATGTTTAACCTTGCCCCTTTCCAGATATGCCCTTGCTTAGACATGTTACTGTCTTAGGCTTTTTAAGAATCTGTCATTAGAATTTGCATTGTAACATTTTCTTTTCCTTAAACATTTTAGAGACCAACAGCTTTTCTAAAGCTGTACCTGCAAAGAGATGATCTACATTAATATAAATTAGAAATTAGGAGATATGCTGATTTACCACCATGCTAGAAGATAAGATGAAAAATCAAAAGTTTTTCAGTTTTACTGGAAGGACTGGTAAGCTATATGGAATATTTATACAGTCAAAAGTCGTTAATCCGGACTCGTCGGGACTTCGGCGATTCCGGATTATAGATCATCAGTTTAAATCTGGTAAGATGGCATGCAGAAATTATAAAATTAAAAATATGAAACCGTAATAAAGAACAATTGTGAAATAAAGAACAATTATGATTTAAAGGGTATCAAAATTTACAAAAAAAAAACTTAATATTTATTTTTTTACTTTATTAAACATTTCTTTCAATGTAAGTTGCTTAAGTTGCTTCGTTTTTTATGTGATAATACATTCTCTTTAATTCTATAAACAGACATAATTTCTTCTTCAGTTACAAAGTTCCACTGTTCAAGTCCTATAATTGCTGTGTCGAGAATACCGACTAATTTCTCAACAGCAATTTTTTCGTTTTCAATAACCTCTGTCACTTTCTTCGCTATCGGAAGCGAATTATAATGACGAGGAATTTAATTTAAATCATATCAAAGATGGAGTACATCGAGATGAAATACTACATTTAATAAGGAATTATAACCCAAATAAAATAAAAACATCTGCCCTGAAGATAACGATAGTGCTGACAGATCAACTTCCAATTCATTGCGCGGCGACGTTTCCCCCCACCTCCGATAAAGCAGTGTGAAGTTTAGATAAACAAATTTTTGAATGTTAGGAAAACAAAGGATATGCCTTTATCCATTTTTTGCAGCAATTCCACTTTTTGTTTAATAGGACATTCGAAACATACTTTCGCTTTGTAGATCCTTTACATATCCAGTAAATATATATCAGGAAATTCTATTTTGACATAATCGAAAGTTCAAGCTTACTTTTATAAAATTGCTCTAACAGTCTGCAAAAAAATAATAAGCCAGATCCAATTCGAAGATTAAGGAACAACGCATTCAGCAACATTAACTGAAATAGATAATTGATCAATTTTAGCTTAGCTTATACCGTCCGTTTATACAAATTAAACGCGCATGCGTAAACAGTATTTTGCGCATGCGCATGTGTAAATTCGCAGCCGTAAAGCGTCTTACGCGCATGCGTCAATGCGACGCATGCGCAGAAATTTTGTAGCTTTGAGGTCCGGATTATAGATCATTCCGGATTATGGGTGTCCGAATTAACGACTTTTGACTGTACCAGTAATTTTAGGCAATTTTAATTTTCAAGCTTACCATTTTTGTCATCATTTTCTTAAATACTTCAGCAATATTTGTTACTTACAAAGATCTAAAATTTAGGGAAAAAAACAGTTCTGTCAAACATCATGAAATGCTAGTTAGTTATCAGATCAGAAATTAATTTGTTAATTTTATTAATGACAAGTTTTCCGTCTTTTTTTTTCCCCAAAATGTTATCTTTTTATCAATCTTGAATTATATAATTTTAAGCATATTTCGCAATGTTAATAATGCATGTTTTAAGACTAATTTTACCATGAAATTTTGCATTAAATACATGTGCATATAAATACCGTCAAAGAAAAACAGAAAGCTACACAAAATTTTACAACGTAAGAAATTAACCACAATACTGGAACTTACGAGGTCACTCATTTCCTTTACTAAACGTGCAGCAGTCTTCTTATTTGCAATGCAAAATACAAAGTTGTCCATTGCATCTGGACTCATAGTGACCTTCACAATCTAAAAGAAATGCATGTTTATTACATACAAAGAGCACATAATAATAACACCTAGACTAAGCGAATTTCACAAAAAAAGAAAAGATTGCTATAAACACTCAGAATTCTTTACTTCTTGTATGGATTGAAGACTTAAGCAACTAGAATTTTCAAAATGCCACCAATGACTGTATTACTGTTATTTTAGTTAAATAACTTGGTAACTTAGGAAAATACATATAAACAACAAAAAATAGTCAGGTGGGTACAATCCTTCAATAATGAGTCCATTCAGCATTAAAATATTAATTTTTTACCATTAATGAAATCTCGTACACTAAAAATACTAATTTTAAACAAATGCAGACATCAATCCAAGCACCGTATTAGCATATTTCAAGAAGGAAGGTTAAAAAAAAAAAAAAAATATGTAAAACACATGGAATTCAAATGCAGAATTGTAATAAAGATTAACCTTCTATTGCATAATTTTTGGAATTAGAATCAAACCATCATTTAATAAATGACACAAGAAAATAATTGCTGAATTGTGATTATCATAAAATCTAGGAATTGTGTTAGTTAAATTTTAATAATATGTTACGCATATTAATTTTATTTTATTTTATAATTTTTTTTGTTTAGTAATTACTAATTATTTAGCACCTTAATACTTAATTGCTTAGCTTGTATTTTATATCAAGGCTCAATTGCATATAGTTTTTTATGCAGTTAAACACTGTTTTTGCCTTTAGCTACTTAGAGCTATATTACTTAATTTTACTGCTACTTTGAGCATTAAAATTTAGAACTACACAAGTTTTCATACTAAACAAAAACCTCCAGCATGAAAAGCAATTATACCAAATTTTATATCATTTGGATACACAGCATGCTCGCTATTTATCAAAGTCAGCTAGAGTACTATTTATCAAATGTGAGCTTCAGTAATAAACACTTTGCAATAAAAGAAATATATAGAAATGGAACAAGAAGAAATGATTTATTTTAATATATATATATTTGGTTATGCACACACAAAAAAGTTGAAATTATACCCACACTTCAGTGTGGTATTTTATTATCTTATCTAGGTATTTTATTAAGTCTAGAAACTGAAATCCCAGTAAACAGACTGGCTGAGTATTCTGGATGAGATATTCAGTCTACTACTCTGGATATTTCTGACACACATTTTGATTAAAAACTAATTACTAAATTCCAACAAACAATAATAATTATCCAAAAAATGTTTCAGAAAAAAGAAATGAAGTGAAATACAATTAATTCAGTCATTAAAGATTTTGGAGCAGAAATTACACCTTGTCACTACCTCAAATGGGTAAAACCTGTATTATATGCTATATTATTTCCCTTATTTTTGAATATTTCCTTTTTAGCAGCATGCCCAGTTACTTTAGACACCCAACAATACATTAAAATGCATAAGAAAACTATGATATTCTATTAAAGAAAATAAAGATTAACTCACAATTTGATCAGATGCAGGTCTTAGCATGTTAGATATAACACTAACTAAATCTTGACGTTTTAAAAATTTTAATTCAACAAGCATTCCTTCTACACATACTCTGCCACTACACCAGAGTGTGTAAATATTTTCAGATTCTTTTTGAAGGCCAGGATTTTCAATTTCTTTTTTACCATCATCCCCTGAAAACACAAATTTTTGATTAAAATCAATAATATTATTTCAATATAACACAAGAAGAGTATTAATATTTTCAATTAATGATTTGCTATTTTAAAGATAAAAAAAATAGCTACTTAAATTTTAAGCCTTGATTTTCTTAATAGATTTTGCAGGGTTTTCTATGCTCTGAAAATGTTCGGTTATGTAGTGATTTTGCTTTTACAAAAGTTATGCTAATACCTGTTTTTGTTAATCAAGATAACTACAAAGAAGATTTTTGCTTTAATAATGATAATAATAATAAAAAAGGGGGCATTCTATTTTCTTTTAGACAATGATTGAAGTGTATAACAGAAATATACATCAATACAGTATCAAGCATATTTCAAGCCTTTTTATTAATCTTTTAATAGATGATTCACCTTAACTTTTGTTACTGAAATAAGCAGATCCAAACATAGAAGTAGTTACACACAATAGAGATCTGGCCCTCTTGATAAATTCAAAAGAGATGAGATGCTATAATTTCAGGGATAAGAATCCAAAGCCCAAGAGAACAACAGGTGCAATCCTTGTTTCTTAGTTATAATTCAGGAATTCGGGGACTCGTTTTGATGTTACTGTCAGGCAAAGGAGAAAAGTCACAACATAACTTTGTATAAATTATATGTTTATCTTATCATATTTAGTTTTAGCTTAAACTAGTGTTACTTTAGATTTCTTGTGTTAACTTGAAAGTTTGGGAATCTTAAAAAAAATTATCTCACATAAATTAAAGAAATTCTTTTCTGCTATTTCAGCTCCATTAAGCTTAATTTCCTTATTTCAACTCAAGCTGAAAGAATTCATAAAAATGTTTTGCTTTAACATAAAAGTGAAAATGTGCTATGTAGAAGTATATATATTTTTTAAATTCAAAATATAACATAAAATTGCAATAAAAACTACTAACACTTCTACTTTGCAGGTATGCAAATATAACCATTTACTTCATAATACAATATAAGTAGAACTTGTAATAACCTCTCATGTCTTACAGAAAAAGGGTATTTTAACAGATGGTCAATACAGTAAAAACTGGATTTAATATACTCTCATCTTTTGGTAACTTATGTACCAGCCACCAGAGCAAAAAGACTGCTGTATATAAAATAATAAATAACATAACACAGTAACATAGAAGAAAAACCATATAATTATAAACTTTTAAACATTTCCAAGAACACTCAAGTAATTTAAATAGAAATATCCCACTTACACAATAATTCATTTCTACATTAATAATGGGAAACAAGATGTCACTAATAATGAGAAATTTTTTATAGACACAATATTAACATAAGACAGTTATATGATTACCCATTGTCTCCATATAAAGAACATACTTCAATATGAGTAGAATTAAAATTTATGATGCTAAGCATGATACAAAGATTAATAATACTCACAAACAATTTTAGCGTACATAGAATTTACTCTAAAACTTTAGATGATATGGTTGTGAAGAAATTTTGCACTGATGTCAAAATTTTTGCCAATCCATATTTCACAGATTTAAGTAATTTTTAATCTTTTTTGGTTTCATGGTTACTGTAATCACTGCTCACCTGAATTTATGCCTTCAGATACCTTTATACTACATGTTTAGCATCAAATTGTAAATTTAGCTCACTTTTCCTAACAACAAAAGGGAAATGGAATCAATATTTGCATTAATGGCAAAACAGGTACACACACAGGAAATTGGAATCTATTCCACAATGAGATCAATGAAATTGGAATCTATCTTCAGAGTCTATCTTCATTGATTTTTACAGTACTGCTCATATTAGCAGAAGAATATCAGGTGCAACATGCCTTTAATACTTTAATCGCTGCTTAATCCACTAATGAAAGCAGACAAGTGATGTTTAGGGGCAGGATGATAATGCATTTACAATAATTTTAGGTTTTAGTCTTCATACAACACACTGAAGTTCATTCAAAAGGTACTTCAGTAAAACAATTTCATATTCTCTTTTAAAACTGTGTTAAGACTGATAAAAGAACATTAGACATAATAAGCTTTCAATATCTTGACCATGCCTTGGCTCGTCTGTTGGAACAGGTGTTGTTTGAAAGTAAAAGAACATTTTTATTGACAAAATGTAAATTTTCAGAAGCATGACCAGCAGCATTAATGACAATTAAGATAAATTCCTAAAATGAGTTCCCAGATCCAGAATCGAATGGTAGAATCGAAAGTCAATTTTCAAACAAAAATGGAGTTATTGGAAGCACATAAAAATACAGAGGCTGTTCACACATTTTTTAGACGATATATATTGTATTCAAAAAACTAAATTACATAAAATTCTTGTGTTTTAAATGTTCTATTTGACATCTCTTATTCTGAATTATCTTTCGACACCACAATTTCTAGGATAATAATGCCTTTTGAAGTTGCAGAAGAATATTCTATCCCATTCCTCCCGAACAGCTTCCAGAGTCCTGTTAGGGTTTGAAACGTTTCGATAAGGTTTTTTTAAAAGTCCGAGCAAAAACTCCATAGTGACACGGTAGATTTAGTAGGATATCAGTGAAGGGTATGGCCTTGATACCAGTTTTTTTGTTCCTTTCTTTTAGGAAATTTCAGTGGATTTATGTTGACTGCTACTTTGTCCTGATGGAGTCTCACAGATTGATGGCACTGTGGTAAAGCGATGGTATTTCATTTAGAAAATTGGCGATTAAAATGTCCTGATAGTATTTGGAGTAATCTTGACATTTTTTGCACTCTCTTTATTTTTATGCCATTATAAGAAAAAAAACCAGCAAATCATGAATCCCTTAGAAACTTTCGATTCTTGAACCATGTACTTAAATTTTTTTCTCCCCTTTTATGATAATAAACGGCTCTTTTTTGTTATAATCATTTAAATACACCATGCTTCATCTATGTGACAATTGTTTTCCATTTTTTTATAAGTATTTCTCATTAAATTCTGCAGTGTGTCCTGCATTCAGCATATGTTTGGAAGACGATGCACATTGCGGTTTTGCTTTCTTAAGATTTAAATCAACGTTTATCATTTTCCTTTACAGTGGACACCGAGCATTTAATGATTTTGCACTGTCTTTGACTAGAGGGATTTCTTTTAACATTAAACAACGTACCTTTGCAATAGTAGAAGTGTCCATTTTTATTGAGACTTGTTTGGATTTTGTCCCCTGAGGGTCAATTTGACTTTTTTTTTTTTTTTTCTTTCTTGTGATGAGATTACCATCGACGCTTAGATATCACAAACATGACTCTCACATCCTTTTGATAATGGAGTAGCATATTTCTCTTCGGAAAGACTAAATGTACTGAACCACGCTTTGTTAATTCGCCATTTTGAATAAAAACCAACTTTCAACCACAGACGATAATTTGACTTTAAAAACATATACAATTTGCATACTCTTTGCATCAACATTTTATTACCGCTTACCAAAATCGTCTAAAAAATGTGCGAACAGCCTCTGCACTTTTTGTTCAATTTGGGCATGGTAATTTTCATTAAGACACTATTGTACTAGTAAAAAAAGTTTTTAATGTAATTTATTCTGAAAATAAAAGAAAAAAGGCATTTTCTTTTTCAAAACATAGGAATAATAACCAAAATTACACAATTCACTCATAAGATTATATTTAATTTTTAAAAATAGGGACTACCTTTATCATCTGTTGCCATTTATTCATAAGGAATTGCATCCATATATTCAGCTACATTTTAAAGGCAAAAATTACTAACAAAAAATATTAAAATACAAATATTTAATTACACATACCAACTAAAGCAAAATTATTCTCTAAAATCTGTCGATGTGAGTTGAACCAAGCCATTGCTAATTTTTGATTTTTATTACGTCCTGCAATAAAATTAATGAAATACACTAAGAGCCCAGCAATCATTAAGAATTCTAAATAAAAGCTCTCCCAGTTTCGTCTGAGATGCAAAGGAACCTGAAATAAATATGCACAAGTACTTTAAAAACAAGAACTAAATAAAATAAAAAGTTCAAGTATTTAAATAAAACAAGACAAGGTATGTAAATCTAAATTTTATTTTAATAAACTATTTTATAATTTTCATGTATATGTATTTAAAAACTATTACTAGTCAGTATATTTATAGCTCACTTTAGTTATTTTCAGGTCAGGTTTTTCAGATGGCTTTCCTTTAGAAAGTGGAACTTCCTGATCCAGACCTTCAAACTCTTCTTCATCTTGAAAATGCTCAAACTCTTCTCCATCTTCCTGCAAATACATATGAGCCATATAAAAACTTTCATACGCTGCAAAATACTTGCATTTTTTTCCTTCACTGATTCTGCTGAAAAGTCCTAATTCTAAGAAGTCACAAAATCACCAAGGTTCAATATTTCATTTCTAACATTCGCCTGCTTAAGTTTCAAACTAGAAAACATTAAAATTTATATATTATAATAGTAACTGTCACGATTTGTATTTTTCATGCACCAACACTCCCTTTTACATTTTTCTATGATTTACACCTGCCACGTGACATTTCCATAAATTCTTTAAAGGTCGTTGTATTCAAACATTAACTTTGCTCTATATGTTTAATTTTGCATTCCATCTATTAAATTATATTCATATACTTGTACGTTGATTTCTAAATAGAAGCTGACCACTATACAACATCATAAAACTTAGCAATGCAAATGGAATTCATCATAAACAGAAAGACACTTTTGTTAACTGAATTCATCTCAAGAAGTTTTTGACTTTAATTAGCAAAGTCTACTATCGATAAAAGAATTTAAAGATAATGTAATTTTTTTTATATAAATTCTGTTACCTCATAAATAAAAAACAAAGATTTTTTATTGAAGAAAAAAGCATGTTATGAAAGCTCAATAAGGATCTTTTTATTCAATTATTTCTCATGATACCTTCAACAAGCTGTTTTCAAAAAAAAAAAAAAAAAAAAAAAAAATTCAGTTGTTTATACTTATCCTATAAAATTATTTGACTTTCAGAAAAACTGAATTCTACTGATAGGTTTTTGTGCAGTTAAAGTAACTCTAAAAAGTGCAGAAATTTCAATGATTAATTCCAGATATAAAATTGTTATACAGCACAAAGTCCGAAATCCAGAATATCCAAGCCTCCAAACCACCCGTAAATCTTTTTTTCTTTTTTCCATCCTTTACCCATGTGCATTTCATATTTTTTCATAAGAAAACATGTGAAGTGTCTTGATTCTTAATTTTCCTTCAGGACTAAATAAAATATCTTTATAATGAAGAAACAATCATTTTTTAGCATAAACCTGTACAATCAACAATTTGGCTCCACAATCACTTTTTTTTTTTTTTTTTTCCATACATCTCAGACCGAAACATTCCACATTGAAACATCACTGACTTATATCTCTGATACCAACCTAGTGAAGCATTATTTATTATTTTTTGCTTTCATCCCCCATGACTATCAACATATGATAACTTGGGAAATTATTTATCAGCTGTGTCTATTTTTTTTTTTTTTTATTTTGAATATTAGTATTTAAATAAGTGTTGACTATTTTGATGAAGAGAATTTAACAGAAATTTCTTTCCATGTGAAAATACAGATTTAATAAAGATATTCACAGGCTAAAAGATTACCGTAATTTCCGGTAGAAACGCCGCGGCGTTTACATGTTTAAAACTTAAATTTTCAGCGGGTGCGGCGTTTCTACCCATGCGGCGTTTTAGGTGCACTAAAATAAAATATTCTTTGATGGTCTTGTGCATAGTTTGAAACTTGTCATTGTACAAGTTTGGATGGCATGTCATTGTACATAGACCACTCAGTGCTTTTTGCGAACGTTTTTTGTTACAATTCTTTCCTGAACGGACCTACATGCCTTATTCACCCTAACGGATCTCAGAACCAATAACATTCTCCCCTTTCAAATCAGCATTCTCATCATTTTGAAGTCTCTCTCCTCTGCCATTGATGAATCTTCCAGGAACCATCCTCTCTCCACCCCTGCCTTTCTGCAATTTTTTTCAAAGGCGGACACGACTCCACCTGCCTGCAATAACGAACTATGATGTATTTCCCCTTCAGCATGAAACGATTTTTCTTGGCATTCTGCCAGATACATATTCATCAGTTTGGTACAAGTACTTGTTGGATAGTTTTTAACTTAACTGTTGGACAGTTTTTAACTTAATACAATACTTGTTGGATAGTTTGTAGAGCGGAAAAATTTTTTAAATGGCCCAAACGGCACAGAAGCTATACTGCTGGTTTTAAGCTTAATGTAATTCACGTGCTGAACAAATTGGAAATAGAGCATCAGCTCGAGATTTGAAGTGGACGAGAGATATTCGACGTTGGAGAACTGAAAAAGGAAGAACTTAAAAATATGCCACAACAGAAACGAGCCAAAAGAAGTGGTACTACAAGGTGGCCGAATCTAGAGATGACCTTGCAAAACTGGATAAAGGAGCAACGAAAAAAAGAATGCAATTTCGACTGTAAAAAACGCTTACAAGCAAAATTTATAGCAAAGCAAATGAACAAAATGATTCAAAAGAGGGCTTTGCTGGTGTGTAGCAGATTATGAAAAGAAAAATATTCTGTGCGTACTAGAACAACAGTCGGGCAACAATTACCAATGGACTGGCAGGATAAAAGGCATCTTTTCTAAAATATGTGACAGATATTATGACAAAAGAAAACTTCGGTCACAGATAATAAATATAGATTGAAACGCCGTTAGCTTCGACTCTCCTGCAAACAGAACTGTTGATGAAACTGGTGCAAAAAACTGTATCTGTGCTTACGAGGGGCATGAAAGAAACGTCATTTACATGGTTGTTAGCTTGTGCCGCAAACGGGACAAGCTAAGTCGATGATCATTTTAAACGGAAAATATTCCAAGGGATATTTCCTAATGACGTAATTATTGTGCAAACGAACGGCCTGGATGTGCGAAACAATCATGCATGAGTGGCTACAGAAGTTTGGCAGTATCGTAGTTCTTTCTTCCACCAAAAGGTTATTGATAATGGATTCCCTGCGTGCGCTTTACTTGAATCAGTGAAAACCAGATGTCAAAAATTGTCTACGACGAGCAATATTCTGGTGGTTGACAAAAATCTACACCATTAGATTTGTCTAATAAATCCTTCAAAGCTGAAGTCCGCAAGCGGTGTGGCAGTGTTGGAGAGTGAAGGATTGCATACGTATACCAAAACGGTAAAATGCGTAGGCATAGTATGAAGAAGTTGCCAAAGTGGTGGAGTGCATGGAAATCAGTAAAAACATCGTCAATAATAGCAGGGTTCAAAAGAAGCTGAAATTATATCTTTAGATAAAGAAACTGTAAACGAAGAGGATGAATGTGATGATCTGGAAGACTGGACTGATCAGGATTTACTAAATCTTTTTAATTCAGTTAGTGAAGAACCAGATTTTGATGGCTTCATATGATGTATAGGTTGCTGTAATTCCTCTTGTAAGTAAAATTTAAAATTTCCTTTTGACATCCAAATTTAATATTTCGTTGTTGCAACATTTTTTTCATAATATCGTCTGAGTATTACAATTTCTTTAGTGGGTAAATATAAATATATTCGTGAACGTAAATATATTTACATTCGACCTTAATATTTGAGTTATGACTTATTCATGCAATTTTCTAAACTTAATATGTCATATTCAAGACATAGGTTGAGATTTTGCATCTATATGGCCCACGACGATGTCACGCGCAATTAAATCTATTGCGGCATTTACGCGGATGCGGCGTGTCTGTGTAATTTTAATTCTTTTCCCGCCATTTTTCTCGAGTGCGGCGTTTACGCTGATGCGGCCTTTCTTCCGTAAATTATGGTACATTTTATGCCATTTGAATTAATAACTGATTTTTTTATTCAGATAAGCCTTAAGTATACATAGAAATTTCTTTATTTTTAGGATTGGACTGTCTTTAAGCATATGCAGGAAACTAATGTAATTCTGGCCTAAGTTTCTCAACACATGATAGAAGCAAGAGAAAATTTAGTGAATAACGTACCTCCAGTCAGTCTCACTGATGCATCAAACAGTGTATAGCAGATGATAGTTGTGAATTTGCAGGTTTTTAAATATTGTACACAAAAGGTGAAATTTTCCAATTATTGGAATTTATGATGGAATGTGGAGAAATATTAATAAACAATGAAAATTATAATAATAGATCTTCATTGCACTGACAATGCTCTAATCACATACCTGCCAACCTCTAAAGATAAAAATTCAGAAGATTTCTCCAAAATCAGAAGACACCGAAGAATAATTATGCTTGATATTAAAAAAACCATTTATACAAACAGAAAAAAAAAATTTACTACATAGAAATCTCAATAGTAGAACTAAAAAATTATAGGAAAATAAAACAAGAACTTATGCACACAAAAAATTATGAATGAAATTTAGGTGCTTTGGCTTAGCCAAAAATTCTTTGGAAAATTCTGTTTTTAAATATTTTCCTCAAGACATTTGCAATTAAAATGTTTTGCTAGAGTTTTTGGGAATTGAAGAACGAAACGTTTTGTTTTCTTCATAACACTGAAGATCTTCGCACTCAGATTCCGTGTGGATACGAGAATAGCACATAAAACTCTGCTAGTCTATCATAGTGGGGTGTCCCCTCAGCCTTTTATTCTTTTTTAAGGTCCCCGAAGGTCATCCGTCTAATGCTTCTCCAGCACTGGCAAAGTCCCAAATGTGCAGCAGAAATGGTTGTGCGTTCTCTCTAGCATCATCTGGCATTCATTTCTTTATTGTACACAAATGGAATTATCAATAAAAACCCGAATTTTCCAAGAGGATTTCATTTGTTTCAATTGCCTCAGCATTTAAAGAATTCATTGCAAGGAAACTCTTGCATGTAATCACGGTTGAGGAAAAGTATTCTACACATTGAAAATTTTTTTCTCATGTTTCACGCTTTTAAGTCCCTGGTGATTTCCAATTAGATCTGCCTTTTGATTGCAAACATTATAGCAACCGAATCAACACAGTTTTCACAAAGGACGGTTAAATAAAGTTCTTTAAAAGATCATAGATTGGGATAGAGGGGAGATTTGGCGATGATGTAGAGCGGTATTAGAAGATAGACAATCCTTTCCTCGGTAAAGAGACGTTTCTTCTCCCACAATCTTACAAACCTTTGACCTTTAAGCAGTTTAAAGGGTTTTTTTGGGTTGTTTTTTGTTTTTTCCTTTTAAAGATTTGATGATAAGAAAGTTGGTTTCGGAATCTTATATGCGAAAATTTGACGGGATTGTGGTTCGTTTGTCTCTTCTGGAATATTTTAGCATGCATCCCACGTTCAATACCTCCTAGCACTCTGCTTAAGGATAAACACTGTGCATACAGTTCAGAATTTTTCGTTTCACCAGAGCACAGTTCTTGGAAATTATTAGGTTCTTCCTTTTTACAATTTTTCCAGAAAAAACACACAATCAGGTCAAAAATGTTAATTTAATGGTAAAGCAGCGCAGCTTTTTCTGCTGCCACTTAATTAAGTGCATGGGATCCATAACAATAGTTCATTTGTTATTTTTTTGAGGAAGAGGCTACAAATTTTTGTCACCCCCCATGACTACGAGCATTATCTGCACCAACGGAAAGCAGTTTGATATGGTGATCCCCTGTTAAGTTGTTTCAACCATTAATTACCAAGGAGGCAATATTCCCGTAGCGGTCCTTAACATGGAAGACCGCCAAAGATGAGTATTCATTTCATTAGAAAACATCAGGAATATTGTGACAACGAGGGTAAAGCTTCCAAGCGCTGGTTTTGCTGCACGAGACCTGAAAATGCAATGAATTCTGGGGCAGCTACGTTTACTTGAGCATCGCAAGCAATTCATTCCTAATAAAAAGATGTTTGTGGAGACAAGCATATTTCTGAGCAATCTGCAGTCGGGAACACCGTTGAAAGTGCCGGGTGTCGTCCGGTCGTGGCAAAGTGTTCGAGAGGAATGCAGACCAAAACACTTCCAAATGACATGGCATCTAATTCGTAGTCGAATTTGAAAAAAAAATCTCCCTTTCTTGACGTTGTCAAGCCGAAGCATTAAACTTCATACTTTTTAGTTCTCATGTTCGCATTATTCTCCACGCAATGAAGGTTCCACACGAACATGTTGCTCTTTGCATTTAGTTATTTCCTTGAGGCCGAATTGGAAGTTTTTTTTTCAGCCAATTGTGAGACGTTCAGAAACTCAATGCAACAAAACGACAAAAAACCCCCAAAAAAAAAAAAAAAAAAAAAAAAAAAAAAAAAAAAACAAAAAAAAAAAAAAAAAACAAAGAAGCCTGTCCCTTTGTGGTTAACGTGCTCGAAGCGCAAAAATGGAGCCCCCAAGAAAGACGTGGGGGAGCCAAAGTTAGCATGATTGTGGTGGTTGGGCGCCTTTTGGGTGCTTGAGTCCTCTGCAAGCTTACTGGCTGCGTACCTAGCAGAGTCTCGCCCTTCGTTACCCGGACGCTGTTCTGAAGGCTGAGGAATACTTTGGCCGGCCCAGGAAGCGGCACGTAATAGGCGGCGTATTGGACAGTACCCCGGGATCTCCCCGGGGTCCGGTTATCTGTCCCTGCCGGTACGTATGGGATGGACGCTCTGCTGGCCGGGTCGCCCGGAAGGTCGTGTCTTTAGTTCTGGAGGTAACACGCACGACGTGCAAGGAGAGGGACTGCCGTGCGCCAGTTTACAGAGCAGGGCGCCAAACAAAATCCATGGGTTAAGCGGCGAGTTGGGAGAGAACCAGCATGGTTACTGATTTGCCGAGTCAGTAGTTCGGATGTTAACAACTATTTTTGCCAATGGCCAAAAACCGCTGAGATTGGCTGAAAGAAAATTTACCTTTTTGCCAAAAAAAATCACTAAATCACTTGCGAAAAAAAGGAAAAACCCCTGGATTACGATGTAATCGTAAGACACCATTTTTTCGTAAAAATTACGAAAAATTCGTAAAAGTTGGTAGGTATGCTATATGCAAAAAATAGATTTTGTAAATGATACTTCTAGGCTAAAGATTACAATTAGTGATGTTTGAATTAAGATTAAATGATTTGATATTCAGATAGGCCGAGGATCATCGTCAGAGCTCGTGCAGTTGCACCAGGTAGCAGAATATAGTAAAGGCAAAATTTTGGGAATTTAGAGAAACACTGAGCCACAAAATTAAAGGATGGCAAAATCTTTAGAACATAGGAAAGGCACTGTGATGCAAAATTAAGGACAGAAAATTTTTTAGAAAATTTAGGTAGAAAAATTTAGGGAGGTCCTTGGCAGCAGAATTTAGGACTTGCAGAGACTGCACTGGCCCTGGATAGGCCATAACTACATGTGAGAATTTATATACTCGGGACTCGGATATAGGAATGTGCAGGAAATAGGCCCGAGTAAAATAAATATTTACACTAATATAATTCAGGCTTAACTTCATTACTGTGTAATAGAAGCAAGAATAAAATTTAGCAGAACAACGTGCCTTTAATTGTTAGTCTCATGAAACACTGGGAATAGTGCATAGCAGACGCTAGAAAAACTTTATGATGATAGCCATGAATTTCAAGGTATTCAAATGTTGCAAACAAAAAGCAAAATTTTCCAATTAATGGAATTTCTGAAGAAGTGGTAACAAATGAAGATGATATAATAGAAGTTTTTTATTGTGATGATAATGCCCCATCATCAATCAACTAACAGAAGGCGAAACTTCTAGTAGGTTCTAAATTCAGAAAATATCATTATTGATAGTGAAGAAGTGACAGATAGGTTGTTCAGAATGCAAAAATTGGCAATAAACAATCAAGTGGGAACTCAGGCCACAGCAGTTACACAAATAGAACTTTGAACACAAAATTATGTCTAGCTATAGAATTAATGAAAAAGTATTAGCACAAAACTTAAACAACTTACATTGAAAGAAATGTTTAATAAAACTAGCAAATAAATATTTATTTTTTGTAAATTTTGATCCTTTCAGGTTATAAAAGCTTCATTATTTCATAAATCACTATTTATTCACCTCATACTTTTAATTTAAAAATATCTGCAAATCATCTTAATAGATTTAAACTGATCTAATATCCAGGAAAATTCCAAATACGGAATCTCCAAAGTCCCACTGAGTCTGAATCTCAGACTTTATACATTAAAGTGAAGTTAAAAACATATATATTAAAGTTAAAAAGCTAGATTTTGATGGAAACTAAAATTTCATTCACAATTTTTATACAATTTATAAGCACAAAAATATATAAATGAATAGTAGAAATTTAAAAAAATGTACACAGAAATTAAATATATAATAATACCTCAATTTGAACTTCATCATCAAATGTTTGTATTGGAGGAGCTGGAGGTTTTACTTCAGAATTTAATTTACTAGCATCATCATCTTTTGGAGTAATTTCTTCCTCATCATCAAACTCTTCAAATTCTGCAAATTCATTATCTTCTATTTCCACTTTATGATGATTAATGCCAAATACATAAGAAGACAGGATAATTGCATATATGATAGTGTAACTCAAGAAATGCATCTGAAAAATAATCCTACATTATAAAAAAAACCCAACAATTTAGAGTAAAACATATAAAATTATGCACTTTTTAAGTTAACTTGATTGTAATGATATACATTAATTAACCATTATATAAGAGAAGAATATTTCAAAACATAATTTGTATAACATACCACTTGACATATCTCCTAGTCAGTCTTGAAGATATTAATTAGGTAACAGTACACATACAATAACTTCTCAGGCATATGCCTGTCTTATGTACTATAATATGAATGCAAAGACTAGCAAAACAATGCAACTTGACTTTTATTTATGAGTCTCAGTTTGAAAGTTAGATTTCAGTTATGTATCATGGAAATATTTCCACAATATTCTTCCTTACTGAATAGACACTTGAAGATATTCACAAACAAAGCTGGACTCAAACATTCTCAAATTTATACATAAGAATTAATATTAAAAAAAAATGTATATGTTCTCATATTTATTCCCTGAGATTCATTCTGCAAATCTATTTATGACTTCAACTGAGTGCAATAATTAATTTTCTTAGAATTGACAGGATTAATGATGACTAAAGCACAAATTTTATCACAGCTTGAAATTTTACATTTATTTTTGCGAATTATAGACGTTTTCTAAAATTCCATGATTATTAGACTTTTTCACAGATATTAAACCAATTAATGAAATTTGAATTTCTCCCCTTTTTTAATTAAAATTGTTATATTATTTTTATATTTAAATCATTCTTATGCTACTTTCGGTTAGAAGATCCACAAAATAAAGAAAGAAATAAAGATAAAAAGCAAACTAATGCTGTTCCAAAATCCAAATAAAAAATATGAATTATTCCAGTCTTGTTAAACTTTTGGAACACATGCAAATTTTATTACTCAGTTACATAAACCCTCTACTGCATGTCTGTGCTGACAGAAAATTTTGATGCCAAACAATACCTCTGCTATATAATGAAGAAATTTCAGGTACATACAGTAAAAAAGTATCATTTGATTAAATACTAATTCTGTTCTAAAATAATGAAGTTCAATATGTTTCCATAATTTGATTAGCTTATAAATATAAATTTCAATTAAAAATATATAACGTAATATTTATTTATCTATGTACCAATTTATTTGCATCACTGATTCATTTCTAGTAGACATTCATCCCCTCATAAATCCTTAAAAAGAAAAATGCTTCATGAAATTTTTAATATAAATACTTGGCTAAGAAAGTTTCATAATTCCCTCCCCCCCATGATCGATTTACAATCTAAAAAGCAATGTCTGACCTGTCAGACTTGTTTTTGTTTTTTTCATAAGTTGGTTTGGTTGATTATAGCAAAATTATGGACTACCTACTTAAGAGGAGAGGGATGCCTTTATGGAGGACTTTTTCAGGGTAACCAGCTGGTACTCATATTTACATAACAGAAGCTGCCCAACCGAGACAGTGGTTAGTGACTGAATGCTGTACCGAAAGGTCCAGGTTCGAATCTTGGAGAAGGCATGGATGTTTGCAAATGTATAGTGTCTGTGCAGCATGGGGAACGTCCAAGATATGTGGCGAGCGGAACGTCCTCCCAAGGGGTTGGTGGTAGGGGGAGAGGGGTGGGTGACCCTCGGAACTGTTCCCCTGGATGCTCTTCATCAAAATCGGGGGAGTAACTGAGGAAAGTCAGTTACTGTCACCTCTTTGATAAATGATACTCTTTGGTAAATGATTAAAGGTGCAAATGTTTTATTACTGATGTTTCTTCCTTTTTAAACTTTATTGATTGTTCTTGTACAGAATTTTCAGAGTGCTGAAACTATGAAAATTCTTATAGCCTTTCATGCATTAGTTTGCTGAAAAATTACCTGCCAACGAGTTCGTAACTTTTCAGTGATGCTGTAGATAACCAGAAAGTATCAAAATTTCTAATCTAAAATCATCTTATTTGTTATGAGCTTGATTATCAAAAGCCTATATTTAATGTGTGCAATTTCAGGAAAAGAAATTCAGATATAAAAGCCAATGTGTTTACCTAGGCCTCAAACATATGAAAGTAGAACATCTTACCTGATCTTGAAATCACATCAAATAAGAATGCTGGCAGAGATACCAAACTTGCATTAACCATTTCAGCAACAGTTTGAAAAAACTGATAACTTTTTATTTAATTAGATAATATAGAGATGAAAGTTGTGAATATAACATATAAAAAATTAAATCATTTGTCATAATGTTTCCCACTGCATCATCATTTATTTGTTTTCGATTAAATTACAATTGAGCTCTTACTGTACACTCTTCTTGATGCCAATATCTCGTATTTTTTAAAACACTTTACTATATGCTGTTCCATTTAAGGCAGATCTTAGACATTAATCATTTTTCAAAATGCTAAGAAAACTGATCGGTGGCAATTACCTTATAGCCTTCTTTCCAAATACTAAACCAGCTCATTATGAATTGATTACATTTACATAAAATCAATGCAAAGATCCTATGATTGTGTTCTAATGTCATGCTTATCTATTACCTAGTGCTAAGTCACACTATTTGGGGATAGCTTTAGTTGTAAAAATGGTTAACCTTAAACATACCAGTGAGAGTAATTCTTGCAATAAATAGACTACCCCCACCCTCTCCATTAACTTTGGAATGTCTCATATGTTCCCGTGGCATACTGACTGTACACTTCTTTTTCTATGAGAAGTGTCTAGTTCCAAGAAAGATTTTTTTCAAACAATACAGGTATAATAGGAGAATGGTAATGAATATGCAAAATAGAGCTAGGTAACTGTATTCATATCTAAGATGTTGTAAGTGAGGTTCTGAGTAATAACACTGCACATGCTTCCCAATGGTTTCAGAAATCTCATGTTTGCTTAAGTTCTTTTAAAGAAAAAAAAATATTACGAAAAAAGAAAATATTTTAAGAAATTTAAAAAAAAAAAAAAAATCTTTCTCTTTTAAAGTGGTTATTTGAAGCAATATCAAGGCTGCAAATATGAATTATTCTTTGTTTATTTAAGCAAAATGAACAAAGAATGGAAAAACCTAGATTCGCATTTAATTAAACAAAGTGTTGTTATACAAATGGAAGCGAATTATCAAAAGAAATTAAAAAGGTCCAGGATTCAAACTTTATTTTATTTACTCTTTATTCTTATGCTTTAGATTTTTTTTTTTTTTTTTCTGATTATCCACACCCCTTTCAAAAAGTATCCATAAGACAAAGGAGTATGTTGCCAAAAACAATTATGTGGCAACCAACCCACAACGTCCCTAAAATTATTTATGTGGTAACCCAGGTATATGGATAGCACATGTCTGTTTTGGCCAGTAAGCAATATCGAAGTTGTTACATGCTGAATTTGTGCATTTTTCTGATGTTTTAAGCAAAAACGTACTGCTGTATACATGGCAGAATAACAGCACAGAAATAGAAAAAGAAAGAGCAGAAAAAAGGATTTCTCAAAAAAGGTAAATGTTTTATTTCTGATGTTTCTTGCTTTTTAAATTTCATTGATTGATTGTTCTTGTATGAGAGTCTCATTGTACTGCCACTTTGAAAATGGTTGCTGCCTTTTGTGCATTAGTTTGGCAAAATATTAGTTGCCAAAGAGTTCACAAATGCTCTCCAAAGTCGGCAAGGAATTTACGACTTTTTGATAGGCAGTGGGAATAATCAGAAAGAATTGAAAATTGTGCTGTTTAATGTTTGCTATGAAAAATGACATTTCCTAGTGTTCAATCATAAATATAACTTTATGAGGAAAACATGCTTTACTCATCAAAACACTACATAAAGAAATGGTCTTAAAATCAAATCTTTATTATACTTCAAAAATTTATTCTATATACTTTTTAAAAGATTAATCACTCATGCCTGAACTCACAAAAGACACAAACATCATAAAAATGTGTGAAGCAAAAATACCACATGTTGTATTAAATGAATGCTTTTGAATCAGTACATTACTTGTTTCACGTTAAATTTTCCATACTGTTCTATTACTGGGACTGGATTCAGAAATGTATGTATGCATGCATGTGTGTATGTATGTGTATACATTCATAAGTACATATATACATGCATACATACATTTTTGAATCCCGTCCTGATAACAGAAGAGTACCAAATTTTCTATGAGATATACCGTATTTGACGGCATATAAGACGCACTTTTATTCCTAAATTTGGTCTTAAAAAAGTTACCTGCGTCTTATACATGAAGGACACAGGTTAACTTTCAATACTGAATGCTATTTTTTGTCCGGATAAAGGTCTAGACACACATGACTTTTTCAACATCTGCCATAATTATTTTGCGCATGCGTGAAATATTTGCCGCCAAAAAGCACCAAAGCTCGAAGCTCCTGTCAAAGTTCGAACAGGTTCGATGGTCACATTACGTCTATGGAGCCTTTCCTTCTTTACATAGACTTTCTTTGACTCAGCCGACACACATTTCGGTATCGGTGCTACTCTGTATAAACATGTCGGTATCAGTGAGTAAAACTATTTGTTTAAAAAAAAATACCCTGGAAAATATGACTACAGAAACAAGAGATTAAGCTATACAATTCAGTATAAACTAGGAGTGTTAAACTACGCCAAAGTGCATGGAAACAGAGCAGCAGCAAGATATTTCGGTCCACCGTAAAAATGATAGGTACTTGGCGACTGCAGGAAGATCAACTGAAGACTGATAAAAAACAAAAACATGACTTACGATGCCCAGCTCCATCTTGGCCTGAACTTGAAAATGTAAAAATGTGGGTGATAGATAAGAGGAAATCTGGGATAAGTGTTTCAACCAAAATGATAATCAATGAGGCCAAAGGATTTGCTGAAAAACATGAGGAATCAGGAACTTTTCAGGGTCTGAGGGCTGAAGCTACAGGTTCATGGAAAAGGCAAGGCTTTTCAGTGCGCACAAAAACAAATATTGCACAGAAAATGCCATCAGATTATGAAGAAAAAATACTAGCATTTCATAGGTTTGTTATAAATGCAC